AGAATAGAATAGAATAGAATAGAATAGAATAGAATAGAATAGAATAGAATAGAATAGAATAGAATACTTTATTGGCCAAGTGTGATTGGACACACAAGGAATTTGTCTTGGTGTAAATACTCTCAGTATACATAAAAGAAAAGATACATTTGTTAAGAATCAAGAATCATAACGTAGTCAATTGCAGATAATAATAAGGAATAAAGAAACCATTAGAGAGCATTTCACTGAGGCAGCCGTTATCGGCGCCATCTTGGCTGCAGTTATCGGTGCTCCATCAATGGATGTTTTCAAGAAGATACTGGATAGCTGTTTATCTGAAATAGTATATAGGGTCTCCTGCTTGAACAGGGGGTTGGACTAGAAGACCTCCCAAGTCCCTTCTAACTCTGTTAATTCTATTAGCCCTGCAGATGGTTGGTATTGTGAGGGTGTCCTCTTCACCTTTTTAACTTTTTACATTTTAATGCTGAACCCCGTCTTTTCATTCTGTTTTTAACTTCGTTCTTGTTTATACAGTTACTTTCTGTTTTTATTGTCAGCCCCCCAGGGTCACTTACAGTGAGATGGGCAGTATTGAAACCAATTGATAAATAAATAACTGATAAACAAATTTAGTCCACATCATATGATTTTTTTATTACAGTTCCAGTTAGTTCACAGCCCAAGTTTTGACAATAATCACAATCAGATGAAGCAGAAGCGTTTGCTAATTCAGCTAGATATGCTCTGTGCTAGGTCTCACATTTACTGAAAATATTTCTGTTTTTTTTCCCTTTACAGGGCTCATAACCACAACTTCAAGGAAGCTAGATCGTGAACAGCAGCCAGAACACTTTCTTGAGGTAAGATTTAGATGGTGAAGGGACAATCTTGCTCATAGGTTTTGAACAAATGAGCCGTTCGTCTATGGAGATTCTCAGTCATCATTCGTCTATGGAGATTTTCCATTCGCCTATGGAGATTCTCCATTTGTCTATGGAGATTCTCAGGTTATGGTTGTTCCTTTTTCAAAAGGCAACTGGGCTTTGTTTTTCCTTGAAGACGTTTTGCTTCTCATCCAAGAAGCTTCTTCAGTTCTGACTGAATGGTGGAGAATGGAAGGATTCGAATTCCTAGCATCTGACCAAGGAACGCAAACCCTTCCATCCTCCACCATTTAGTCAGAACTGAAGAAGCTTCTTGGATGAGAAGCGAAGCGTCTTCAAGGAAAAATGAAGCCCAGTTGCTTTTTGAAAAAGCCCCATTGGGACAAATGTGATTTTCCTTCTGTTTACCATCCTTCTTCGATTCCTTAAGCATACTTGTGTTCAGTTGAGAACTTCTGAGCAAAAGAACTATGTCACGCTTCAGGAGATCCTATTGTTCCTTCATATCTTAGGAGAAACTAGCATCATTGGGGAAATCTCTATTTTTTTTCCCCCATTGTTCTTTTGCCGTCATCGGTAGGGATTGTATTTCAATTCAATCTTGCTTCAGCCAGGCAATTAAGCGTTCCAAATCAGACAAAGGATTCATTACTAGAAAATGGCTATCAAACAGAGCTAGATACAGATTAGGATCTGTTCATTGAGTTATTTTATGACGAGGTCTTCAAACTTGACAGCTTTAAGACTTGCGGACTTCAACTCCCAGAATTCCTCCTCCAGTCATGTTAGCTCAGGAATTCTGGGAGTTGAAGTCCACCAGTCTTAAACTTGCCAAGTTTGAAGACCCTTGCTTTATGGATTGATCTCAGCTTGGTATCCTGAGTCCTCTTTCGTTCTACCTGGAGAGAGGGTGGGAAGGGAGAGAGAAAGAAAGAGAGAGGGGTGGTATACTCCTACATGAAAGCATGGCCACTAAGTAAAGCCTGCAGGAGTGATGATATTTCATTTTCTCTTTTTTTCCATTGTCTTCAAGTCCCAGTTATATTATAATTTTTTTAAAAATCTTTTTCTGGAACCCTTTCGTTGTTCAGGCAAAAAACTTAGCTTAAAACCCTAGCTATATCCTGGCCACTCTACTGAGATACATCAAGGGCAAGAAAACCAAGAGCACAAGTTTTTCCACTTTTCTTCTGGAGTCAAGAGTAAGGCATTTCCTTAGGAGCAAAGGCGGTAAACTAGAAAGCAGGTTGTCCTCAGGTGCCTTGGAGGAGGCCACAGTGGCCATTATGGGGGAAATTCTTAAGGATCCTCCTCCCTTGAAGGGACCTGGAGAGGTTGACCCACCCGGTCATTATTGGTAGAATATTACTTAATGATATGGTGACCAAATGTTGAATCAACATCCTGTCTTTCCAACTGTTTGCACTTTTCCTGAGTTAAATCCCAAGGAAGGAAGCCGTTAGAGAATAGATCTCCTTAGGCTTTTTCAGTAGGTGTCCTTCAACAATTTTTGGAGAATTGTACCTTCAGTACATGAAATCAAGGACACCCTTTATCTAATTTCTTTTTTCCACAAGTTTGCTGAAGAATTTCAAAATAGCATATTTGCCCAACTCTGCAATTCTCTTTCTTGCTATTGCTTCACGTCTTTTGAGATTAATAGGAGTCAAAAGAGGGACAGATACATAGATACAAATATGGAGGCCCAGGTTAATTTAATTCCTTCCCCTTGCCCAGGCAGTCCCTCTTAAAACATTCAACACTTTTTTTTCCCAAACAACAAAACTGTTAACAGTTTAGCCCTACGTTGTTTGAAGGACTAGGCTTTCTTTTATGACATTTGCAAAGTAGTTTCTGAAATGTTTGGCTCATACCATGTTTAATTAACCTCCTGAGGGAGATTTTAATTGCCAGTATTACCATAGTCTCCCTGTTTTACCGTTAAATCTTTCCGGATTTTGTTTTGTTTTTTTTTTCATATTCTTCCTCCCTGATTGGCAATGAAAGAAAATAAAATTGGCTCCTTTTGAAAAGATATCTAATTGCTGATGGTCTTAAAAGCTTCCCTTCCGTGTTCACATGGTGTGAGAATGTATGGGTGTTGATGGGCCCTAATGTGGACAGAAACTTAAATTGTTTCAACTTGTTCTAAATATGACAGTGATGTAATACTTTTAAATGTCTGTTCATAAAAATTTGCCTGAAGCCGAAATAAATGGAAAGAACTGAAAGCAAAATTTGAGCTCTCTAAAAAGCATAAACATATTAATTTGGTGAGATTTGCATTTTTGGTTTTATAGTTCATTATGGCGATTGGAAAGAGCATTCAAGATAAATTTGTCTGAGTTGTAGGAGCTGCTGACTATACCTGTGTTGTTGTTCAATGCTCCAGTGTATATATTTCTTCTTTATGTTCCAATATACTATATATCATCTCTGTACTTATATATATGCTACTTGTCATAACATTTAATTGGGCACACTGGTGCATCATAGGGCAACATTTTTTTGAACTAAAGTACCTCAAATAGACTAATTTACAGAATGAGTGCAAAATCCAGGACCCACGACTCCGGTGGAATTGAAATTTGGCAAATTTTATAAAATGAACATTTCCTGTTGTCAACTCTTGATGTTTGATTGTGCTATACAGTTCAGCATGGGCTGTAGGAGATGACCAGGCTGAGCTTGAGGGAGAGGTTAAACGTGTCATCAGTTCGGAGTTCCTCCATGCCCACAAGAGATTTAAGTCCAGCCCTCCTTGAATTCTGTTGGTTCTTATCTAATTTGCCAAAGCCAATTTGCCTTGACTATTAGTAGTTCTAAGTTAGAACTACTTATTAGTAGTTACTACTAATTTAATACTAATACTAAGTAATTAGTAATTACTATTAGTAGTTCTAAGGACCCGGTGGCTCAGTGGCTAAGATGCTGAGCTTGTCGATCAGAAAGGTCAGTGGTTCGGCATGGTTTTAATCCCTAGCACCAGGTAACGGAGTGACCTCCCGTTCCTTGTCCCAGCTTCTGCCAACCTAGCAGTTCGAAAGCATGTAAAAATGCAAGTAGAAAAATAGGTAAATAGTGTTCATGCACCTTCAGCATTCAGTCATGCTGGCCACATGACCACAGAGACGTCTTCAGACATTGCTGGCTCTTCAGCTTTGTAATGGAGATGAGCACTGCCCCCTAGAGCCGGAAATGACTAGCATGTATGTGCAAGGGGAATCTTTATCTTTTTATTAGTAGTTCAGATTCTTTTTAGGGATAGCATGGAATAAACTGCATTCATTCGAACAACCCCAGTTCCTGATTTCTTTCAGCTAATATGGGTTACTTTCTAGGCACGTACTTCTCTGAATATCTCCTTGATTTTTTAAAAAAATTCTCCAGTACGTTATAAGTTTTTACCATTGTTGAAAGCATTAAAGAACCTGGCAAAGACATATATCTGAAAAGATGAACCAAGGGGTCACGGGTTGTCTTGTTTACAATTAATAAGCAGATAATGCTATCAGAATTGCTAGACCCTAAATAGTTTGGTAACCTGCATGCCAAGACATTCTTCTGATAGATTAGTAGAACTAGATAAGTATTCAAAAATAATTCCCTATTACAGATAGAATATTTTAGTGCTTGTCAGGAAAAAAATAATGCATCCACAATTCCTTGTAGGATATTCTAAATTGACATGTACATTTATTTAAGAGGTATAAGTCAGGCAGAATGCAACTATTTCCCTAACTTTAATATGCATATATTCCATCCCCCACCAGGCTTTATAATCTATTGTTGACAGGTGCCATATGCAAACATGTGTGAACCCAGCAAGTGAGAGCGATCAGCATCAATTTTATATCTCACAGACGCCTTATTAAAAACTTAGAGTGATGGATGTCATGTTCTGATATTTGTACCCAATTGGTGTAGAACAGTGTTCCTCAACCTCAGAACCTTTTAAGTTGTGTAAGCGTCAACTCCTACAATATTGGTTGGAGGAATTCTGGGGTTGAAGTCCACACATCTTAAAGTTGGTGGGGTGGGGAAACATTTCTCTAAAAAATAGGGAATTTGCAAGATAGGGAGAATCCAGGAATGGTCCCATGATAGGCATTTCCCTTCAGTATGGCTCATATCTTGGGAAGAAGGCTAAGTTGTCCCACCCTAAATGTCCTATGCAAGCCACCGTGACATCCCTTGCCTCTTGGCGTTATACAAGTAATGAAATCCATGCCATTTGTGTGATGATTTGTTAATAAATTTGAGGCCCGGATATGGGAGTGAAATGGCATTGATCACACTCATGGACAGTCTGTGGCCGAAATGGGATGGAGGTGGTTGGACTTTGGTTTTTATGTTACCCAGTGAAATTAACAAGAACTCTTCAAAAGGCCCTATTCCAACTCAAATGACAAAAAGAGAAAATGGTGGTTGCTTCCCTCCACTGTTCTTTGGAAAACACAGTACAACACTGTGTGATACATATCAGAAATGAGGGGGTTGATTTATACACTACTTTCATAACCATATTTTTCTTTTCTCTTTTTTTTTCATTTCTCATCAAGCACAGCACATTTAGGAGATACTAGCCAATAACCTGGCGTTGCCCAGGTATTTATTTATCCCAATCCTGTATTAGACAGGAAAATCCTGTAGTCGGGACTCACGCTGTTGTACTGTCTCTTGCACAGCGTCACAATTCTTCTCCTCAGGAGTTTCTTGTCTACATTGGTGTTTCATTTTTTGTAGTGTTTGATTGCACTTGGCCAATCAGCTGACATTTCCTTGGAGGGCTGTGAAGAAGCCCCCTTGTGGAGTACTGTGAAGCCATTACCATGGCAAGTCTGTTACCATGGCAAGTCCACTGTGCTATACAGTAGAAGCCACTTTAAGGCGCGCACACACCCGAGAGGTGTTAAGGGTGTCTTACCACCACAGTATTTGTTTCCAGAGGGTAAGTCATCTGTGTACCAAGTTTG